TGATGCCTTTGAATTATGGTGTTGGTGAAGAATATTGAATATACCATGGACTGCCAGAAGAACGAACAAATCTGTCTTGGAAGAAATACAGACAGAATGCTCCTTAGAAGCAAGGATGGCAAGACTTCATCTCAGGTACTTTGGACATGGTATCAGAAGGGACCAGTCCCTGGAGAAGGACATCATGCTTGGTAAAGTAGAGGGTCAGTGAAAAAAGGAAGACCCTCAACAAGATGAACTGTCACAGTGGCTGCAATGATAGGCTCAAACATGGCAATGATTGTGAGGATGGCGCAGGACCGGGCAGTGTTTTATTCTGTTATACATGGCGTTGCTATGAGTCGGAACTGACTCAATGGCACCTAACAACAACACACATTTCTTATTCTCCCTACTATATTACTATAAGTCTCTTAAAGGCAGGAACCCTATCTATTCACCCTTGTGTCCACTGTAGTGTCTACTACAATGTTCTGAATATAAAAGGTTCTAGGTAATATTTGATTAAATGAATCATATCTTGTAGAAATATAACTAAAACTAAATTATTTTAAAGATAATTATACTTTATAATCAAAAGATATCATGAAAAATAATACCACTATTACAATATAAACATTATAAGATATATAATGTAATATCAATACAATAATAACAATAGCCTCATGTTAACTAATTACATATGTAAAGACGCTATTTCCAAATAAGGTCACATTCATGGTACCAGGGGGTAGGACTTGAACATATCTTTTTGGGAGACCAAAAATCAAACCCTAACAATGGGGAAGGTATACAATAATAATATAAATCACAATAGCAGGAGCATCTAGCCTTTATTACATACTTACCAAGTGCCGGAGCCCTGGTGGCAGGCACTGTGCCAAGCCCTTTACACACATTCCCCTGACTCAGAACACAAACTGTCTCTGTACTTCATCACATACATAATATGAAAAGTAAATTCCTACTGCTGGAGTGGAAAGTTCTATTTGGTTCACTTCCACCATTGCCTTGACTTCCTTCTGGTTTGACCTTACCTCTCTCTCTACAATATCAATACTTACACAGTGACTTTTTAAAGGCTTAGACAGTAGAAAAACTTAAGTTTCTATTTATATACCTCACGAAAACCCAATTCCAATTTCATCACTGTTTCAGAGAGATGACGATTTTCTAACTTGAGTGACTCCAGCTGATCCAAAGTCTCCTGAGGAGGGAAAGGGCAGAAAGAACAAATAAATATAACAAATAAATCAAATGCATCTTACAAAAATTTTCCACATGTAATTGTCATTAAGCTAAGTTATAGTCTTCATTCACACATATAAAAATACTCTGTAGAAAGATAAACGAAAAACTGGAGTCACCAAGGTGAATTAACATGCATGTGATTCAAACATTCTAAGATGAGGAATCAGGTCACAAAGGAACAATGCTTTAGTCCACTGGTAAATCCCTCACCGCTCTCCTGTGTCAGCCTCCTGTAATTTGGTTTCTACCTCCAACATTATGTGGAATTGCACTCCTTTCATATAACAATAACCAATTTTCAGTCCTCCTCCTCCTTAGCTTTTCTGCTTGAACATTCCTCCTTGGAAAACTTCCTGCTTCCTTAGAGAAAACTATTTGGTTTCCTCCCTATTTCCCTCACTGTGGGGCCCTGGTGGCGCAGTGGTTAAAAGCTCAGCTGCTAAAAAAAAGGTCAGCAGCTTGAATCTACCAGCTGCTCCTTGGTAACCGTAATGGGGCAATTCTACTCTGTCCTATATGGTCACTATGAGTTGGAACTGACTCGATGACAACGGGGTCCCCTCACTGCTACTTTTTAAAGCTCCATTCCCCCACCTCTTTTTCCCTGAATGAGCAGTATACTAAGCTTGTTGCAAGTTTCTGCTCTTCATACCTGATGCTTTCTCATTATAATATAGGTCTCTCAGGGAATTTCAAATACCAACTTCATGCAGGACTCTCACAGCTAAATACCTAACCTTGATTTTAATCTTGAACCCCAGGCCTTCTGTGGAATTGATGACTAGATACTTCCACATGAAAGCCCAGCCTTTATCTCAAACCAGACATGCCAAACCAATGTCTCACCAGCCAACTTTCTTATTTTGTGTATCTTTCACACTGCTATGGGTTGGTTTGTGTCCCCAAAAAGATATGTTCAAGTCCTACCCTCTAGTACCTGTGAATGGGACTTTATTCGGAAACAGCATCTTTCAGATGTAATTAGTAAACATGAGGCCATACTGGAACAGAGTGGGCCCTAATCCAATATGACTGTGTCCTCATATAAGGAGAAGAGACACAGAGAGACAGATACAGTGGGAAAACAGCCATGTAAAGAGAGAGGCAGAGATCGGAGTTAGGCTGCCACAAGCCAAGGAACACCTAGAGCTACCAGAAGCTGGGAGAGACAAGGGAGATATTCCCCTAGGGCCTTCAGAGAGGAAGGCCCTACTGACACCCTGAATTCAGACTCCTAGCCTCTAGAACTGTGAGATGATATATTTCTGTTGTTTTAAGCCATATAATTTGTGGTTATTTATTATTGCAGCCCTAGGAAGCTAATACACAAACTCATTATCTTCTCTTCAAACATGTTGCCTATCTTTTTTCTATTTCACTAAAGAGCACTACTTTCCACTCAGTTGCCCAAGCTTAAATCCTGAGTGACATCTTTCCTTAACTCTATCTCCCTCACCCTTCCTGTAAAACCAAATACAAAGTCTAGTCAATTTTACCACCCAAATCTCTCTAGAATTCATCAGTCTCCTTCTATCTCCCCTGCCCATTGCTCTAGCCACCATCTTACTGCTGTCACAACATCTGAGTGTTCTCTTTGCTTGCCCTCCACACTATCTCCATAGAGACTCTTGCTTAAAGCCATTCTCTACTGACCTCAAGATAACACTAACATCTTTAACATGGCTAGTCCTTGCTTACCTCTCCAGGCTCATCTCTTGCCACTTGTCCCACTTGTCATCTAGTTTCAGCCACAGCAAACATAGCACATTCTCTCTTAGAGACCTCTGCATGTATTTTTTTCTTTGCCTGAAACACTAGTCTTCCCTCTCCTCCCAGCTACCCATTGAACCCTCAGGTCTTCACTTAGACATCAGGCCTCTGGGAAGCCTCTGAATAGCAAGGTCTAGATCTGGCCTCCTCAGTGTTCTCCTCATCACACACTACCGAGAAAGTCTCTTTATCTGTCTGCATCTACTCTTACTTCCCCACCAACCCTCGCTAGAATCTTTATTAATCAGTATGCTCTCAGCCCAAAACAGGTTATCTAATAAAAAATTTACTGTGAAAATTGTATCTTTAATAAAGTCAATCTTCAAAAATAAACTTCAAACTAAAAGAGTTCTTGTTCAGCTTCACCTTGTGCTCTACTGCTTTTTCTTCTGCCTTCTGTATCTCTGCTTTGAGTCGCTTTTCCATGTCTGAGGAAGAACCTTTGGTGGAAGCAATAGTGATGTCTCGCTGATGCAACTCCCGAGTTAGCTGGGAGATTTCCATCTTCATTCCTTCTAGTGCAGAACTGTAAGTTTGTTCAGCCTGTAAAATCTGTTCTTTCAACTACAAAGAAACAGAATAGAAAGCAACAAAAATTAAGGCAAAGCATCTAGATAGAAAAATATATTAGTTAATGTTTTTACTTTACCTCAAGATGTGAAATTTTTCCTAGATAAAATCTGCAGTAAAGTAGCAATTTATCAAGTTGCATAGCTGTACTGAAGGTCATGTGGTTATACCCATCCACAATCATGTCATCAGATCTCAAGACAAGGACAGACAGGTTATTCAAATGCTATGGACCAGTATCAAAGCCCATGCACACTTGACTAGAAAACAGCACCTGTAACCTTCTTTCTTTAGTTGCAAATCTAAAAATTTTGCTTAATGATTTCCTGGTCCACAGAAGCTAATCAACAACAAACAGAAAGACAAGAGGAAGAAAAGGGCTAGAAGTAATCTGAAAGAAGTAATAAAAAAACACAAGTCAACAGAGCATTCAGGGTCCATGAATGTAGAGACAAATAGCTCTACATACCTCAGTAGCCAGTGAGGATATAACTACATCATAGCACAGAAGGAAAATACATCCATAGCCAACTTTAGTCAGTAAGAAAATATTAAATGAATCGTATACATTTTAGAAAGCTTTTCATCAAAAAATGTTTGAAATATAAAGTTTGGGAGACTAAGGCTTCGACTATCCTGAAAATATGTACATGGAAATGTCTGGGGATGTGAAAGAAAAAAGGCATTTTCCCTAAGCCCATTCCAAGTCCTCTTCCACTCCTGAATATCAAGCGGTCCTTTGGACTACATTTTTCTTTCATTAAAAATAACCCCCATAATGTACCAACCCACATCTCAGTCCATAAATACATACAACTTTGCAATCCTAGGCTTGTAGATTTTTACTTTTTTAATCTCTGTTCTGTACTCATTGTTATGTCCTTCCATCTTCTTCAATTCTTCATATTTTTCCATTAATTCTTGACTCAGTTGTTTACATGTTGTACTCACAGATTCCAAGCTGGAGGAGAAAAATAAGATCACATATTTTAAACAAAACAAGAACTCTAAAGCCCATAAAATAGATTATCTAACTTATCCCCTTGATGTCTAAGAAATTTCCTACCAATATCTTAAACATCACCCCACACCCTAAATTAAAACTCATTTCCAACTTCCTTATCACCAGAGGCAGTTAAATCCAACTCAAACTTTTAGACATACTTTTGATTTCTGTGTTTTCCTATACTATTTCCTCTCATTTAAAATTTAACCGATTACAAAATTCTAAAGATTATAGCAACTTACTAAATTTTTCTCTCTGGTTGTACAGGAGCTGCTGTCATAGTCTCAATCCTTACCACACTTACCTATAATTCCCATCCTACAACAGCTGCCAGAAAAACCTATAAACAGTTTTCATCCTTTGGTGTTTCCCTCATCAACTATAAGAACCTCAGGGGCAACAAATCTTCTTATCTCACTGCTCATTTTACCTAATAAGATCTTTCTGCTCTTAAATTGATAAGCTTTTCTGTCTGCCTAACTGCTATGCCTGACTTTGCTTGTCTCTTCATATATGATTCCCTTGACCAAAAGCACCTTCCTTTCCACCTGGCAATGGATGCTTAACACTCTTTCAAGAATCAGACCAACATTTATCTCTTTAGAACCACCTCAATCCTCATTCCCCTAATCACCTTAAGTGCAGCTTATTCTCAATTCTTACAGCTTGAATGCAGAAATTTTCTATATTTAAGATGCTACTTTAAATTGCTTTCAGGTCCTTTAATGTATATATTTTATCTCAGTCTGCAAATTCTATAATTAAAATAATGTCTTTTACTTCTTATCTCCTTCCAACCTTGCCTACCATTCCCTTAGCTCTTGTGTTGTACAGTTCTAGACAGTTCAGTAAATGTTTAATAATCATTTAGATTGGTTTGTCAACACAGTCAACTTATCAGATAAGCTAGAACTCAAAAATACCATTTTCGTAATATAACAACACAAAAACAATTATTTAAATTCTGCCATTTCCTGTTTTAGAGAATATTTTGTTCAAACTGAACAACACAAATAAATTGTCTAAAGGGGCTCCATTATCTACTTGCCTCTTAAAGCAAAAAAAAAAAAAAAAAAAAGTTCAAGCCATTGTTTTATTACTAAACACTGGTGTTTTTATCCATTATTCCAGTTTTACCTATTTCTAAAAATCCAAGAATGTTTATTTTTTGAACGCTTATTAAGGGCTTACAATATGCCAAACAGTGAGCTACAGAGAGAAGAAAAATCAGGGATAATCTTGTCCTATCTACAGATGTGCAAATCCAGGGTTAAAGGGACTAAAGTGTCTGAGGTGGCACTACAAATCAGAAAAAAAGAGTCAAATCTTCAGAGGCTACTGAGGGCACAGTAAAATATACATCTTTAAACATTACTAAAACCCATCCTAAAATTCACACGGAATTTCAAGGGATCCTGAATAGTGAAAATAATCTTGAAAAAAGAACAAAGTTGAAGGACACATACTTCTCAATTTCAAAACTTACCCTAAAGATAAGTAATCAAAACAGTGTGGTACTTGTATACAGACATATGGATGAATGAAACAGAGTTGAGAGCCCAGAAATAAACCTATATATTCATGGCCAAATGATTTTTGACAAGGATGCCAAGACCATTCAGTAAGGAAAAGTCTCTTCAACAAACGGTGCTAGGAAAACTGGATATCCATGTGCAAAAGAATGAAGCAGCAGCCTTCCCTATCACCATATACAAAAATTAACTCAAAATGAATTAAAGACTTAAATTTATGAGCTAGAACTATAAAACTCCTAGAAGAAAACAAATGGGCAAATTATCATGACCCTGAATTTGACAACAGTTTCTTAAATATGACACTAAAAGCACAAGGGACAACAGAAAAATTTGATAAATTAAGACTTTACCAAAATTAAAAATGTTTGCCCATCAAAGATATTATCAAGAAAGTGAAAGGCAAACCCACAGAATGAGAGAAAATATCTGCAAAATATATATCTGATGAAGGTTTAATATCCACAATATATAAAGAACTTATACAATTCAACAACAAAAAGACAAACAACCCAATTAAAAAATAGGCAAAGGACCTTAATAGGTAATTCTCCAAAAGAGATATACAAATGGCCAATGAGCACATGAAAAGATGCTCAAAGTCATTAGCCATTAGTGAAATGCAAATGAAAACCATTACAAGATACCACTTCACACCCAATAAGATAGCTATTATCAAAAAAATAGGAAACAGGACGCGGGGCCAAGATGGCGGAGTAGTCAGACGCTTCCGGTGGACCCTCTTACAAAAAAAGATCCGAAAAAACAAGTGATTCGATGATACATGGCAATCTGGGGGTCCTGAACATCAAAGGCAGGGTTGAGGAACTGGACTGAGTGGCAGGGGAAGGGAGAGACAGTTCAGAAGCAGCAAGGAGTTGTCAGACCTGACCAGGTGAGAGACTGAGCCCTTCAGGCCTGATCAGCTCGGGGGTGAGCGGTGAGGCAGGCAAGCGGCAATGCTCTAGAGGAACGTTTTCTGCACCAGGGGAGACTCAGTGCCAGAAAGTCTACACGGCCACCCAGATCCAGTGAGAAGCAGCCCTCAATCCAGAGAAAGGTAAGTAATTGCATACGGCCTACTGCACGGATCAAAAACACCCCCCTTAGGGAAAAATCTCTCTCCCATTTACCTCCCTGCTCCCTGCTCTGCACTGGGTCCCGGACTGGCTTCAGCAATTGCCAAGTCCCCTGGGACAGAAGCAGGATCCGTCACACGCCTGGAGCCATTCTCCCCGCCTTGCACAGTGAACATATTAACAAACAGGAAGAAATAAACTGCTGGCTCTCCTAAGCCAGGAACCCAGGGTAGGCACAGCTTCTTTGCCTACACACAGGCATAAGGGATCCATGTACTTTGAGTGCCTTTCCCCCTACATAGACTTGTGTGGGACCATTTCAACAAGGTAGGCCCTTATTACCGCAGTACAACAGGGTATATACTGGAACTCTAACTTCAACTGTTTCAGCTGTGAAGTGGCAGGTTCTTGACATTTGACACTACTCTGCCCATTAAACAGGGTCTTCACCTACCCACATCAGGGGCCTGAGGAATGGTGGCTCCACCTACGCCACCTAGCCACCTGCGATAGGGGCCCATGAATAAGAGGTGCTCCCCAGTCATTACAGCCAACAGCATTAGGTGCTCAGAGTCTGGCTGCAAAACCCACCAACCTATGCACTCTAAGGAACAGAAACACGTCTTCCTCCTGGACACTAGGGTGCGGCCGTCAGCCCCCGCCTTGCTCAGAGTGTCTCCACCTGCTGCAGCCAGATGCCTGTGCCTACACCAATCACCCATGCCTGTCCAGGACTGTGAGAGCCTACACCAAACACTTGGTAGCTATCTACTTGGGCACCTGAATTGAATCCATACAGGAGGAGTGGGCGGACCCCTGAGCCCACAGACTTAGTAACAGATCTAACATCCTGGTGACAGGACATTAGAGCTTAAAAGGTGCCAATAATCAAACTAGCTCATACGAGCAGCCTATTTGGGCATATCAAAACAAAACAAGAAGCTACGACACAGTAAGCAAACATAAAATAAATAAATATAATAACTTATTAATGGCTCGGAGACAACAGTCAATATCAAATCACATAAAGAGGCAATCCATGATGGCTTCAGCAAGCTCCCAAAATAAAGAATCTAGAAATTTTCCAGAGGAGGAAAATTTCTTGGAATTATCAGAAGCAGAATACAAAAGATTAATATACAAAACTCTTCAAGAAATTAGGAAGGAAATTAATCAGAACGCAGAACATGCAATAGAGGAAATTAAAAGATTAGAGAAGAGCATAATGACAAATTTAACAGGCTGCAAGAATGCATAGAGAGACAGCAATCAGAAATCCAAAAGATTAACAATAAAATTTCAGAATTTGACAACTCAGTAGTAAATCATAGGAGCAGAACTGAGGCAATGAAGTCAGAATTAGTGAGATTGAAGGTAAAGCACTTAACATCAACTTATTTGAGGAAAAATCAGATAAAAGGATTACAATAAAAATGAAAGAAACCCTAATAATTATGAGGGACTCTATCAAGAGGAATAACCTACAAGTGATTGGAATACCAGAACGGGGCAGGGGGTGGGGGGAGGACAGAAAATACAGAGAGAATTGTTGAAGATTTGTTGGCAGAAAACTTCCCTGATATCGTGAAAGATGACAAGATATCTATCCAAGATGCCCAATGAACCCCACATAAGGTAGATCCCAAAAGAAAGTCACCAAGACATATTATCAAACTTGCCAAAACCAAAGATAAAGAGAGACTTTTAAGAGCAGCTAGGGACAAAAGAAAAGTCATTTACAAAGGAGAGTCAATAAGACTAAGCTTGGACTACTCAGCAGAAACCATGAAGGAAAGAAGGCAATGGGATGACATATATAAAGCCTTGAAGGAAGAAAACTGCCAGGCAAGAATTATATATCCAGCAAAACTGTCTCTCAAATATGATGGCAAAATCAGGGTATTTCCAGATAAACAGAAGTTTACGGAATTTGAAAAAACCAAACCAAAATTACAAGAAATACTAAACGGAATCCTCCGGTTAAAAAATCAGTAACATCAGATAACAGCCCAAGACTAGAACACAGGACAGAGCAACCAGATATCAACCCAGACAGGGAAGTCACGTAAGGAAATCAAAACTAAAACACTGAAAATGGGGAAACAGATGTCAATATGTAAGAGATGACAATATTAAAACAAAAAGAGGGACTTAAAAAATGTAGACATAAATTTTTCACACAGATAGGAAGTCAAGGAGATATAAAGAAATGAAAGAAATAAAAATGGGAGTAAATATTAAGGAACCACAAAGGAAACTAACAATCCTACAAGTCAAAATAAAAAACTAGAAAAATATAAAGAGTCAGCAAACACAAAATCAACAACAATGAAAAAGATGAAAA